CTCAGTCTTTTCTTCCCTACAAAAAAATCCATGTAGAGTTACAGCCAAATTAAGCTGCATTTTTGCTTCAAAGTAATAAACCTTCCCTCAACACTTAAAACTTCTTCAAGAGAGTCTTCACTGTGAACAACTGGTAGAATAACAATTGTGCTTTCCATTAGAGAGCATACTTTTCAACTTCTACTTTAAAAATCACGTAGGATAACAACTCTAAGGTAATTAAGTCTGGCAGCTCATAATTGAATTGCTAGAAGACAAAATGTCACAGCTCCTCAAAACTCTCATTTCAACCTATTTTAACATAATAAAGTCACTTGAGACATGAGCTATACTAGAAAGTTCAGTAGGTTACACTTTTAATTTTTTAAGCCAATATGTTCTATCGATAAGAATTTGAATGCAAATCCAGCTATAACCTGAACAAAGACACTTTATGCCAAAGTATTTCTATCCCTACCTAAGGGAGTAGCTGTGGCAGCACAAACACTTCCATGCCAATACAAACGCGTACAGATTCCCCGCAGCGTGCTGCTTTAACTATACTCCAATTGAGTTAAGTGCTAAAATTTTTTAGGCTTAGCGATACCAATATTTTACTTCATGGTAGCTGATCCATCATAGCTGTCGGTGTGCATGCTCTTAGCCCGTGGCAAAGGCAGGATAATTTGAGTTGTTTTGCCCTGCTTCATTGAAAACTAAGATGACTCAAATTACTTTGAATTTGCTTCAGGCAAAGCTCGCACACACAGACAGCTATGATGGATCAACTGACGTGCAGTAAAACATTGGTGGGGCTAAGCCCAGTGCTGAAATAGAGCACAAGTCCTTTTTTTTTGTTTTCTCCTGGCACTTAACAAGGGCCAAACCGAACTTAAGCCTTTGAGAGCCACAACACATGAGTGACCAGACAAGTGAAAAACAACTAAAAAAACTCCTGCATCTTGCAGTCTCTTCAAGAGCAATGTTAGCCACAGAATAATTTGAATACAGAGATGAAAATCTGGACAGTTACCTGGTTATCTCTGCTCCTAACTACTCCAGGTTTGCCTGCTTTGCTTATTCTCCTTTTTCCTTTATCACCTTGTCCTTTCCTAACCTGTTCCTGCCCCAATACAGTCCAGCTGTAATTCCCTGCTTTACCATCCTCAGTGAGCCTTCTTAAAAATGGTGAGTGTTCAAGATATGTCCATCAATGGTGCCTGCACTTGTACACTGAATTACGGTGTTATTAATCTTTTCCATCAGCATTAAGCAAAACCAGGGTGAATATCAACTCACGTAGCAGCCATGCACTGACACTAACCCCTTTGGTTACCCTCTCTCATTTTTTCCATGAATTTATTAAACCCAAATTTTAATTTTTTTTTCATGTAGATGTTGAGGCACTTTTAACCATTAAAATCCAAATATTACTGCAAGCCAAGCAATAATTAAAATCCTATTTAAAACAACGAACACGTGTGAATTGTCCTTCATTAAAACACAGCTCTACTTCCAGTGAAGTCTTACTGGTTCATACCACAAGGCTTTTACAAATGAAACTATTGAGATAAAAACTTAAAAGGATGTAACTAACTTCTAGTGATTTTCTGGTCATCTGACACTACTGTGTATGTTCCTTGGTACCTACTCAAACAGTATGTATTCCACAGTGTATGCTGAACAAAACTGTATCATAGTCTGTATCACTTCTGATGCTATTCCTTATTAATTGGAGAATAGGTGAGAATATAAATTGTACATATCTATTACAAGTACTGTAGAGAAGTCCTGTCTTGTCAGACTACGCAGGAAACTGTCAATGCCATTAGAAATTCTCCTTGAAAACCAACACTGCAGAATGTGTCAATAGTTTCTGATGATGTCAGATGAGAAACTGCAGCAACAGCTAAGAGCAGAGTAGTGCTCCCTTGAGATGCCAAAGTTGGCAACTTGTACTGAAATGCTGCAAGAATGTTTCTGAAATTGAGATTACTGAAATGTAATACCTCTTTTTGAAAACTTTACTGCACACAATTTATCAAGCCAAAGCCACGGTTCCAGGAAGAAAGGACCATCTGTTTTTCTTTGGGCTTCTTTTTTTAAGGCTCACCTTTAATCAATTTAAAGTTTTTCATACACTGGAATGCAAAGAATTAATACCTTAAGAACTAGGTAAGTGAGTCAATGCTTCTCCTTGAAACACTGACTCCTCTGATTTTAATTATAATTAACTAGAAAATAACTGCCTATTTGTAAGTACAGACTCATTAAATCTGATACCTTTACACTTTTAACCTACAAAGGGGGCGACAAGGACTCTGGATCTATTTGCATTCCAAGCTTTGCCCTTCACCTACCATATATACCACTTGGATCAGTATAATCTCTCGTAGACCTATTTTTACACCCCAACTGGGATAACACGTATAACAACAAAGGTACAATGCTTAATACTGGCAAGGTTTTCAGCAACATGGAAATTAAAGGGCTGCATTATAAACCATATCTTACACATAACTTTAAATGAAATGCTTGTAAAAAAAAATACCAAAAGCAATACAGTATATTCATTCAAATATTTCTCAAACTCAAAGCAGAATTACCATTAGGTAAAGAAGTTCCATTTAGCCAATGTATCAATACTTCCATAATCCTATACTTCTAAATATATATACAAACTAAATTCATATAAATATATGAAAAGATGAAACTGAAGGACATGATGAAAGTAGCTGTTTTAATTTCCACAAATATTATAGCTTAAATGATCAACATCTAAAGTGTCAACTATAGCTGCAGTGAACTGAAACTGTCTAGTTGATTTCCAAGTTATCTTCTTGCCTTTACAAGCCCATAAAATAAACAAAACTTTTAAGTTTTGGCTAAACCAAAAGCTGACAAACACCTCTTAAAAGGCTATCACATAACACAGCAGGGCCATTAGAGACAAGTAGGAGAAATTCTACTCTTACTGATGAGATTCAGGGCTGTCCACTTGGGACATCGTTTTCTGCTATATCACTGCAACACCAAACTTCATACAGATTCACAATTAAACCTTATCCGTCAATCTTAATTTCATCCAGGAGTATCATTTTCCAACTCTCCCCTAATTACGTGGCTATACAGAATACTTTATTTTTGCATGAATCTGCCATCCAAAACACAGGCTGACTGAACATAGAGACACTATTTCTAAGGCCTCTTTTCAGATATACTATGGTAGAATAGAAGCTGAACATTTATGATTTTAGACTATCAAACTATGGCTTGAGTAAAGGACATAGTTTAGCTGGATTCCTCTCCTGTGACTAATAACATTAGTAGTCTACTAAAAAATAAGCTAAAATTCACAATATTGCAATCAAAGTACTCAAAGCCCATATATTATGGAGGGTGCTTAGGCATCTGACATATAAATAGTGGTTTATAACACTGTAGATCCAGGCAACCAATCTACTGCCAGAAATCGTTGTCCTGCAACACAAACAACAGGAATAAATGACTGCCTGCGCCACCTCTACCATCACAGCCCACAAAGTGGGGTATGAGCCCAGAATTTCATTAGTGGCTTAAGCTACTATGTCAGACTATGAACAAAGACAGCATCATGGTCTGCTAACACTGACCTGCTACGGCTCCACTTACCAGAGCCTACTCATTAAATCTATTAGATGTGCTCAGTTTATGCACTGAACTCAGAACTGGGAGGTGGGGGTGGAAATCAACCTCTAAACAACTCCTGACACCCTTTCAGCAACCAAGTTTTGCCAAGCGTAACATAGCATCCAAGCTCCGGGAGCTACCTTCCCATTTATGTATGCATTAACAAGCATACATACAAATGTTTTGTTACAAACAAAACAAAACCAAACCCCCCAAAACCACAAAAAGCTACTTTTGAAGAGATAAACCTATGAATCTTCCAGACTATACTCCTGATTATCTTCCATCATTGCTTTAAAAAGTTGCATTTGCAGCTGATTCCAAGATTTCAAAACATCTCTGCTGTATTATGAAGATAAAACATTTATCTAAATACATATTTTTTTCATTTCCTGTAATGTTAAAAGAGATGTCTTTTGTCAAGTAAAATTGACCTTCGTGTTTGACTGTTATGGAAAAAGTATGTTACCTAGTTGAAGTTCTTACTTAAGAGGACTAAAGGCCCAGCAAGTGAATGCAATAACAGTGCAACAATATGAGAGTTCCTCTGTATGGAATCCAGCCAAAATTATCTGTTCAGATAAATGGCCTGACAAAAGGGAACCATAAATAAGGTTACTCTTTCGACATCATAAAGTTGACGCATATCCTGCCCTAGCTAGTTTTGTATAAAACAGCAAATAAATCTAAGAGATAAATAAAACACAGAGATGCTTTTATTTCAGATAAGTCTGCCTATTTATTCAGAAACCATTTGTGCCACAATTTTTGGCCTGACATGATTTCTCTGAGTATGTGCAACTCAGATCTGTTTCCAGACTACATCACTATAAATACTGATTATTTTATAACCTGTACAGCTTTTGTGTAACCAAGTTCAGTTTAAAACTACAGCTATTAAAATGAAGCATCAACTTTGCAATTGCCTACAGGGCTTTTTTATTTTTTTGTAATCTTCTCAATGGTATAAATTGGATAATGAAGAAGCTTGATGAGAGCATTTGCAATGTGCAGTGAAATAGCACCAAACCCAAAGTGTTGAAAGAGACTTTGAAAAGACTTTTTTTCACAATTTTGAAGAAAGCCTTCAGTATATAGAGCAGAAATATTTTCACCTATAAGCAACATCAGCACATGTAGTATCTTTAAAAAGAAATGCTTAAGCATGTAGACCAGGTGTCCTCTGGGAGATTTATGGTTTAATTGCTCAGTATGCCATATCTTTTTACACAAGTTTTTTTAAAAAAAATACTGAAACAGAATTTAAACCTAGGGCATTTAACAGGGTATGAACAGTGCCAGGCAAAATTTAAACACGTTTTCCTTTTGAATTAAAGGGTTTAGTCACCTACCAAATCCCGGAATGCTTTTGAGACTGGATTTGAGACAGATTTTTTCAAGTCTGAGGTAGCTGTATCGCAGCAGGCAGTTCCACAGGAACATCCAGTCCATTCGTGTGCGATGGTTCATGATAATGACGCTCCTTTCTCCAGGAACAAACCCGTCACCAGTGACAACCACCTTGGCACCAAACACCATTTCCAGCAAGGCCTAGAAATAATATCTCAATATTATGGCTTTACTCCCAAAAGAAAAGCACCAGCCCATTAGCAATAAAAATTACATCATTTTACTTATTCACTCACATTATCACTGGTAAGCAAACTTCTGACTGTTTTCTAATAAAGCAGCCAGCTTTTCCACAGTAACGCTCAGCTGTTTAATGGAAGAGGAAACAACAATTAAATAGCACTTCTTAAAAAGCACTCTTTTACAATCAGTGTCCAACATTAAACTTGCTTTTCCCTAGTTTTCCCAGAATACTATCACGTAGGAATAGAAGGGAATCAGTATGGATTATAACTTGGTAGGTAATCTAAGGAGAGACTGGCTGCACAAATAATCTATTGCTCAATATTGTCAGAGCTGGGAAGGCATCAGAAGCTGCCTTGCTTTCTGCTTGGGTCCAAATGGTCAACGTGTTTGTGCCTAACTTCCACCTGCAAAAATGGCTAGAACCTGATGGCAGAAAGAGCAGCTGAGAGAGAGAAATCCCAAACAAGCCGGAACACAGTACAGGGAAGTAGACCTAGGTCTGTCCAGCTCTACAGTGCTACCTTGAAGCCTGAGCCTCCACCCCACAATTAGCAGAAAGCATCAACCACCAAGCACTGGTGCACAGATCATCTACGAAATGCCGTCCCAAAGCATGGAATAAGCCTCAAACGTGGAAGGACACAAACAAGGAGCTGGACAAGCAGCTTTCTCGATTTTGCCTAAACAGCCAGTGATGCTAGAAGTTCACATATAAAACATGTTTCTTGCTTTACCTGCTACATGTGGCTCTGACGGGTCAAGTTATAAATCATAGGTCAGTGGTTTAGCAGAAGGAAAAAGCAGACAAGAGCTACAGGCCAAATTTAAGAGGGCCTGGTTTCATAACCTGGACAGCTGGACCATAACCGTATAACTAGACTAGTTGTATATAATATCAGAGCCCGACAGCATGCTCTAGCCATGTTCACGCCACATGCAAATTGCCTACTGGAAATGGTTTCTGACCCACGACCATTCCCAAATCATGCAGGGAAGTGTATGGAAGAGTGCTGCTTGGTTACAGCAAAAGACCAGGACCAGGTAAATAATTCAAACATACAGATGGCTGAATGCTAGTGCCTTGCAACCTTTTAATAGCTAGAGGAAACACAGTGGAAAGGTACAAAATCCCAAGGAACAGGAGGCAGACAACAGATACTACCTCAAGGTATTGAGGCCCTAAGGTCAGGGCCACTGGCAGGACACTGTCCAACCCAGTTAGCACAGAAGAAGAAACCACCAAAACATGATTGGACATCTATAGGAATAAACTTAACATTGGGCCTTAACATAAAAGAATACAAGCACTTCAAATTACCTCCTTACCTTCTCTTCCCCATTCTTCCTCCAGAAAAATACAGAAAAAGAGCAAAGTCTGGGGATTTAAACAGAGCTCTAGGAAGTAAAACAACTTTGTTCTGTTCGTATTTCTGCCACCTCTGTGCCACAGAAGCTCAAAGAACACAAATTCCTCAGTTTAAGTCACCTGTAAAACTGGAATGACATTCTCACAACCACAAATGGCTTGAGATCTCAGAATGAAAAGCACTGTATGTGCCAAATATTAATACTATTAATAAACTCAGCTCACTATAATTCTGGCAAAGGTGTTGCTATCAAGAGTAACTATGGACACTTCAAAAGCAGAGCAGGTGGTATAGCTCAAAATGGTAAACAGTTATCTTTTCAGAAAAGAGAGAAGCAGCCTTTTTTGATAGTTTAATAAGAATCTTATTACATATTTAACATCTAGTTAAACATAATAATGAACAGATGTTCTGTTCTACGTACCTTAATGCTAGTATAAGCCAAACTAAACTGAAACAGTTAAGACCAACCTCACTGCCCCATCCTGCTGACTCTGCTAGAAAGGAAATAATACGTGGCAGAGGAGTGAGGAAGGTGGAAGTTTTTTTACATCACAGAGGTCAGGGTCAGAGCTTCCCCATTGGGAGTCCAACTGGTCCAACATTAGGTTATTGTTTGGAGACACAAACCAAAGTACCTGCTTCTCCTGACTAAGAATGCAGTAAGCATAAGGACAGAAAACTAATGCAGACAAGGTCTCAGCCTCAAAAAGTTTGGGTGCAAAATGTTTTTGAGACCCTTTTCCTGAACCTAAGTCTCCAAGATTCTTACAAGACAGAATCCTTTCCACAAAAACATTCAAATTATTTTGGTTTAGGTCCAGTGTGGGCTGAAACCATACTTCTAGACTGCAAAAGTTGTCACAAACTAGGTGTAATAATCCAGAATTATAAAGCCCAGGCAACTAATCAAATAAAAAAAACCAACAGTATTTGATTTTTGGGAGTTTGCAATTTTAGAAAAACTGGGAGACAAACAGAGAAAGGGTCGATTTTGTGACACTAGCAGTACTCAGCTAAATTTCATCATGACAAAAAATAACAATACCTCTATTCCCTTTACTGGTAATTTTTTTTTCCCCTCCTAATTTCATCGCATTTAGTAATGATGAAAAGGACAAAAGTTTTAGAACATGAAACAGCTCACACCCCTTTAAAACACACAAGACAAACAGAGAAAGCAGAAACTATTTGATATGTAATAAAGATAAATCTTCCTTTATGCCACAAGATACTCTTTCTGCACACCAATATAGCATTTTACTTCAGAAAAAGTTAAACAAATCTTTAAATGCCTAGAGGAACAAAGTCCCTTGGTTTTTAGAGAATGGATGAGGAGACAGAACCCATTCATACCATCTTTTCTCTGGAACAATTCAGGGAAGAGCTTTGTTATTGATTTCCAGACTCCTATAGCTCTAAAGGTGATGCATTATAAGTGAGGAAGACTTCATTTCTAGGGGAAGTTCTTCTTCACCTGAAATAATTTATCTCTAATTCAACTACAAGGACTAAATTCTAAGAGGATTAAGTAAGAGAACAGTGAAGGTCAGCAACAATGTACCAGACAGTGAATAATTTTCCTAATTAGATAGTTGGAACACAGTCGAAAGGAAGAGTTTGTAAGACAACTCATTTAGGAAGTTTGTAATTTAAAAAAATCTGCCTGCTTATAGTGCTTCACCTACTCTTCTCTGATCAGCATCTAACTGACACTAGATGGAGATGTCACGAAAAGGCCTTTTCAAGAGTACAACTAAGACATGGCATTAGCTTACATAGAAATTAAACTGTGGAAGAAGGGGACTATAGACAAGCACATGATCAACAACACTGAGCTAAAACCTAAGTCTCTACAGATAGTGTGTTAAGGCCTGTTTTGACAAAAGCATAAAAAACTTTAAAAAACCAAAATAAAATAAAAAGCATTAGTCAGCAAACTAAATCATGGTATTACAAACAGTTGCCCAGAACTTGGCTCAAACTGCAACTTACCACTGGGAGTGTGAGCCAAGTGGCCACAACACAATCGGTGATCCAGCGATACCAGGCCGGTGAGATAAACATCAAAGGTAGAAAAGGACCGAGCATGAATATACTTCCAAAAAAACTTCCCAAGAATAGTGCAAGTACAAAGTATATCCCTTTCCATGACACCATGGCTCTGAAAAAGAAAGTTGGCATTATGTTAGAGAGATAAACTGGAAGTAATTACATAACTCTTCAAGTCCGTAAGTCCAGTTTGAGGTAATATTCAACCCCCCCTTTTTTTTTCCATGGCTAACAACACATGATGAAAGTAAATGCAACCAAAATATTCTACCTGACAAGCAGCAGTATGAGAATGACTTTATAAACAGAATGTTTTGTATGGAGCACTGGGATATTAAAGAGGCCATAAAAGTATCAGCAACATCATAATTTCCTCCACTACAATATGTAGTTTCACACTAAAATCTTCTGCAAGCTATTTTTATTATCCAAAGGTACAAACGAGCTATATAAGAGAACACCTGTTATAGTAAACTTTTCAGCCATTATCTTTGTCACTGGCAAAGTACTAATGTTAGCATTCTCTGAAGACAGGGAACTTTGCTTTTCTATTTCTCCATTTTGTTTCTTCTTGCTAAACACAGTGTTGCAGAAACTCATCTTCCCCACCTAACAAGGGTCTACGTGTGACCTCCTTCAGAAACCACTCAAACCTTGCGAGACCGGTCAGCCATTTCAGACACCAGTTCCCTTTTCATCACAGCAGGGCAGGGAAGCAACAGCTGAAACCTCCCGACTCACCCTGGCTTAGTGAATTTGTGACTTTTTGAAGTTTGTTGTACTTCAACTGTCCTTTTCAGTTATTTTCCAACCTATTCCACCAAAAAGCCAATAGCCTTTGGTTTTTAAGACAGTAGTCTAGACTGGAAATATTTCAGTGTCTGTGCTATCAGCTAGACTCCCTTATTATAAATTGAAATGTACAGTGCATGGTGCTTCTTAATGCATTATGGCAGCAATCCTCCAAGCATTTGTAATAGCTACAAGCTTTCACAATTTAGCGACTACTACCAGCTATGACAAAGCAAATGTGGAAATATCAATTCTCTAAATTAGGGCCTAAAAATAGACAGTTTGCATCTATTTAGGACTCAAACAATTGTTTATAAAATCAAAGGTTAAGTAGAAGTCACTTTTCAGTCACTTTACTGAATTCCTTTTTTGACAGGCTATTTTAGAAATTACAAGAGCTCAGATAGACAGGACTTCAGGACAAGAAAAACAGGAAGCTGGTGTTTTTAATTTTAAAATGAGCAATGGAAAAATAATCCATTAAGCCTTGTGTACTGTAACATACATGATTTATCTCAAGCATGTTTTGTGCAATGTCCATAGCAATAATGTTTGCACAGCAAAGTATTCCAAAGTCAAGAAATGGCAGTGCTAGCATTGCTAGCACATGAGTTTGCTTCTGCTCCTCCATGTTGACAAATAACAAGAACATAGTTCTATTTTGGATACTTTTCTGTTTAAACAATTTCCTAAACTGTACGTATTTGGAGGAAGGCCAAGAGAAGAGGCCATGCAAATTTGTTAATGAAAGAAGGACATAGGAAGCTGTATTTAGCCCAACTTCTGCACCATAGCAAAAAAAAAAAAGTAACACTAAATACAAATGTTTGCTGATAGCTATTATGTCGTGGTTTAACCCCAGCCAGCAACTAAGCACCATGCAGCCGCTCACTCACTCTATCCCAGCTGAAACCAGGACAGCATATCAGGAAGATTTTAACACAATAACATTTGAATTCAAACAAATACACATTATTTGCATTCTCGAGTATAAAGTCCTCTCTTTCCTGCCAAAAGCAGGAACTAATAACCAGCTGTCCACACATGTACACACTAAGTAGGATCAATTTTGACATATCAATGGATCCTTGAAGAGCACTGCACTGAAGAAACAATGCTCCAACTGCCACCTTCTATTTGTTACTGCAAACCTGCGTGGGGAAAGTCCGAAATAAAGGTAGCAGAGGACAAAAGAAAAAAAAAACAGAGAAGGACAGAAACAACAGAAAGGGGAAAAAAAAAATCATTAATTGCAGCAGGACTAGAAGAAAAGGCCTTCTTCTGACATATCAAGATTTGAGACCTACTACAAAAGGCAGCAGAGTGGATTAAAATTCAATGTGCTTGACCTAATAAAACATTTTTTAGGAATACACACAGGGAAACAACAAGAAAGATCTATGGGCAGCTTTCAAACAGGTAAAACCCACTAGCAGACACAGAACACAAGTTTGTTTAGCTTCAGCCAGCCACTCCGGTCCTCTGCGAGGCTGCTCAGAGCCACCAGTCATCGAGTCAGACGCAATGACATCCTCCAAACAGACACCCTGGCTCCAAGCAGCTGCGGGACAACACAGAGGCACACGTTCCAGTTCCAAATATTTGACTTCTACACACAGGTAACCACAGAGTTAATGAGACAAGACATTGTTCTGTCATCCTCCTAAACTCTTAGGAAAGGAGTGTAGGTCACTTATGTACAGGCTGAGCTTTTCACAGTTTACACTGTTCCCTCCCTCAAATTATAGCACAGAGACAAAATATTTAATAAAAATAATAATAAAAAAAATCTTTTCTGTATTTTATGTGAAAGACCATCTTGTAAAATTCATTTTTTTAAGGAAGGTATCTGAGCTGTGGAAAAGAGCTGAGGAAGTTCTGAAGTTTCTCTTCTTCAACCTGCACCCCATTACAGTATGTACATATATGTTACACTGCATTCCACTAGATTAAACACTGCAGTGTTTATTTCTAGACACGAAAGATACCATGTATGTTTTTAATCCATGTCATTTAGCTCTTCCAGCCATATTTTTGAAGTATGATACATACCATATTTTACTTATTGCTTATATATAATACATTACATATCTTTACACATATACACATGCATTTATCTAGAATAATGGATAGACTTTGTCTCTGAATTACCCCCACCACAATAAAGCAGATGCCATGCAAACAGGTGTGAGAACAGAAAAACAACTCCCTCTTAATGAATTTGAGCAAAACTGCAAAATGAGAAGCCTGTGATAACATGAAGAACTTACAGCAGAGAGTAACCATCCAGCTGGCCTTCTGAGAACAGTGCTCAGCAAGCTCATTTTAGTAACAAGGTGAAATTGTTAACACACTCAACCCATTTGTTTTCATTTGTGGGTTGATGTGGTGGAGTTACTGCCCAGACAATAGGTTACATGATTTAAAATGCATCTGCCTACGCATGTCAGTTGAGAAACATTTACATATACTCTCATTTTAGCCAACAGTCACGGATGGGTATTCATCAAGCTGCTGGGCGGGTTGGCTGCCAACAGCACATGCCCTGGTCTACTCAGGAAAAGTGTTGCTCTGCGTGTGTTTAGAGCAGGGAGGGCAGAGAGGAGGCTGAAGCCCCAGCCTGGATTTGACACCCTGGCCAGCCCAGCTGCCCTGCTGAAGCTGTGTGCCCTCTCTAACTCAAGCGGTGCCACAGGGAGCCAGCTCCAGCACCTCCTCGGCTAGGAGTACAGTGCACAAGTTTGTTAACTGCACAGAGCCAGCTCTGGTCAGACAAAATAATTAGTCATAACTTTGTGTCCTGCTAAAGCTTCAGTACAGTTTGGGAATCGCCCGTCTCTGAAGCAGTACAGTCGTGTTCATGCAGTGCTGCGACTTGCCTAACAAACCCTCTTCGGCCCGTCTTTGCTCAGCTCTGTATCCTCAGCTCTTTCCCTTCCAACAGCGACCCCTCTCCCAGCCCCACACCCCACATCTCCCACCCCGGTGCAGCCATACCTCTCCCACAAACACCCCATTCCCCCCCAGACACACACACACACCTTTGCAATACCAGCTTGTTTGGGCAGGTGAAGAGCAGCACGCTCCAAGCGTCCACACACCCTCCTGAAAAGAAAAGCCGTTAACGCTGAGGACTGACTGCAGGGTTGGCGTGCCAGGCTCTGCACACTCGTGTCAACTCGCGTTGGCACTACAAGGGCTGCTGTACCCAGTTTGCCATTGTGCCAGTCGCCCGAGGAATTCCCAGACACCTACCACCAAAGACAACAGGGAATTGACTCTATTATCATCCTTTTGCATCTCTCAGCCCCTTAAACACCTCGCTTAGGAAAAAAGGTATCTTTACAGATATGTCAGCCACCCCAAATCTAACACATGCATTCAACAAGTGAAGCAACAGCTACAAACCGATGCAAAATACAGGCCTGCAGCTTCAAAACGTGATTAAAAACCGACTATGTAATCTCAAAGGGAAAGGAGTACTTAATGAGGACTTGTAAAATGATCTAAAACAAAGAAAATTTGAGCTGATTCATGTCAGAGACACCCAAGAAATGAATTAAAGGATTCAACAGGAAGTCTGAATAACAGAACCCAAACATTTTCAAAGTACAGAAGTATTCCTTTACTGCAGCTGACAACTCTCTCTTCCTAAAGCAGCAACCACTCTCAGCACTGGATTTAGCGTGTATTATGGCCTTTAAAGCCACCTTCCATTTGCTGTGTGGGAAGACAGTCAAAATTATTTTAAGATTCAGGCTGAAAGCTGCAAACAGTGAGAAAGACAGCGCCCTCATACTGGGCTTGTAGTTCTTCATCTATTTTGTGGCAGAACTCCAAGTTATTGGGGTACTGTACTTCACATGTTCTCGTTGCCATAGCAGAAGGAAAACATGCTCTGTCTCCAGGTAACGGGAAACAGTAATTCTTAAAATACAATTTTTGTTTTAGATTTCAGTTAATTTTAAAAATTCTTGGCTGCAATGGGACAAATTACTTTCCAAACAGTTGCATTTTTATAAACTTCATCTTTATTAGAATATTTGCTTGAAATTATTTCAATATTCTATGCAAAGTGTTTGCATAGTAACATAAAGCAGAGACACCTTCCTGTGATCAGATTTCAGCTTGTTTTGCTTATCATCTACATGCTTTTATTCAAGGTACAGCTGGAATGACAGACAAACTACAGCTTGTTATGGTGATGATTTCAAAAGTTTTTAAACAGCCTGTTCTCTACAACAAAACTAGTTTTTCTTCACAACTACTTCTATGGCTTATAAGTAGGCAAAGCATGCAAAATAAGTTTATCTGGTAAGA